ATAGAATTGGTCCTAATATACTTCCTTGAGGCACTCCAGAGTTCAATGAATGTAAACTGCTTATCCTACTCCCAACTCTAGTTTGCTGTAATCTATCTGTGAGGAAGCTCCTAAACCAGCTCAATGCAGTATCTTTTATTCCATAATGCTTCAGCTTTTGAATGAGAATATCATGGTTAACAGTATCAAATGCCTTTCTGATGTCCAGGAAGATAATTGCAGGATGCTTGGCACTGTTCTTAGCAGTAAATATACGATCAAACAGATCTAACATGAGATAAGTTGTAGAGTGATCTTTACGGAAACCATATTGATGCTCTGAAAGTATTCCCTTTTCATCAAGATATTGAGTCAGTTGGGAGTTCACACAAAATTCGATGCACTTTCCAAGAATCGGTAAAATTGAGATTGGTCGATAATTACTAGGATTCTCAGTATCACCATCCTTATGGATTGGGGTGACTTTTGCAACCTTGCAGCTGTTTGGCATGATGCCACTGGATAAACTCAAATTTACAAGATGTGTTAATGGAGCAATAAATGCAGGTAAAATTTGTCTAAACACTCTCAATGGTATATGATCATTAGTGGATTTGCTACAAGGGATACTTGCCACATAGTCTAAGATATTGGACTCAGTTATTTCAGTAAAGCTATTCAAGCTGGTCTCGTTGTCAATCTGCTCATTTTGTAGATAAGATAGAAATTCATTTTCATTTTCCAGCTGCACTTCTGCTTGGATCTTTGGACCTATTTCAGCAAAATATTTATTGTCGGTTTCAGCATCAAGATTGTTATTGATATTGTTAGCTTTAACAGGCAGATTTGATGCTGTCTTTATCGTTTTCCATACACCCTTTAGATCATTCATGGCACACTTGGCTTTCAGTTCTGTTGCTAAGTTAGTCTTCCTATTAATTCTAGACAAATAGGTTGAATAGTTTCTCTGCCGTTTATATGCCATCCATAATGAGTCACATTTATTACAGTGTATAAGACCATTTGGATGTATACGTCTGTTCTTGTTGTGTGTTAAAAATTTACGGTAAAGTTTCCCTTTCAATTTCTTACTTTCTAAAAATTCTGGAGATGGCTTATGGATGTAATCACTATGGCACTTAATTTGTTTAATTGGACAGAAGTGATCATAGTAGTGATCAATATGTTCGTTTAAACCATCAACTGCATCATTCAGACTAGTTGAATCTATTATTGGTCTATAATCACAAGTTTCCAAAAATTCTTTAAGAGCAGTAACATTCATTTTGCTGTGATCTCTTATTAGTAACTTCTTGAATTTTGAGGCCTTATGCACATTGAAATCGACAATGAACTTTACGACCTGATGATCTCCTATACAATCATCAAGGACTTTGCAGTCAAGAAACTTGGAGTAAGTGTTTGTTATGACAACATCGATTGTGGTCTTTGTGATTCTGTTTCCTAGTTTAGCAATGCGGGTAATATCCTGAACTACCTGTACCATTCCAAACATTTTCATTGTAATGTCTAATTTCTTATAGTTCATACTGCTGATGTTGTTTTGGTCTACATTTACATCACCCAGCCAAATAACATTATTACTTCCTATACTCATCATGCAGTCTGTCATATAATCTAAAAATTTGTCAAGAGGACTAACCAAAAGGTTCCAGTTGTCCAGGAAACTGTACGTAGCTGGTCAACTAGTTTTGAATTCAGACTAGGCTTGATGAGTTCTGGGGTTTCTAGACGTAAGATCTGTTTCTGTAAACTATATCGTATATAAATTACATATCGTCGATATTATACTTATAGATATTGTTACATATCTATTATCTATATAATATTTTATTAGGCTACAAAATTGTAGCCTTCATTTGTAGAAGATATGAAAGTTTTTGACCTAATTTTATTCGGCAAGTAATTCCCAAATTCAAATATCTAAATACGGAAAATAAAAAGTATATTTAAATTTTACAATCTAGATATTAATCGTTTTTTTAAACAACACTTTGATCAGATAAAATTGATCATTTTTATACTTGACACGACATCATAAAAGTGATACTATTAAGTGCACATAATAAATTTAGGGACGAAGCCTCATATCTTCTCAGTAATAATAATAATAAGTAGGAATTTATACATCGCTTTATAGCCATAAAGAACTCAAAACCCAAAGATTCAGTTCAAACCATCTAAAGCGACTCATGAGTAACATGTACATAAGAACTTATTTTTATGAAGTATGGATTTTATGAGAAAGGTAATACATGATACTTATACAAATACGTTTTCAAAGAGATGAGTTTTTAGTTTCTTTTTAAATAAGACGATATCGGTTAGTGTTCTCAATTGATAAGGAAGCTTATTCCAAACAGAGGGTCCGCAGTAGCTGAAACTTCTCTCGGTTTTACTATAGTTTGAAATAGGAGGAACATTTAGGAGGAAATAGTCTTCTTCAGTTCTTAGTACACGTACAGGTTGACTTTTGATGTCAATACATTTGATGATATACTCCGGCGCTATGTTGTTAACGCATTTGAACACGGTTAGAGCAATCTTATACTCTATTCGTTGTCGTATTGGAAGAAAATGGGCTTTTTTCAGGAATGGAGTGACACTGTCCCATTTTTTGATAGCTTTCCAACCAAACAAGAATCGAACACAGGAATTTTGTACCTTCTGGAGTTTCTTTATTAGAAGATCAGGTAAACCGTATAAGAGTCCATTGCAGTAGTCTAGTTTTGAAAAGATCAAGCAGTGAATGAGCTGTCTTTTTAGATCATAGTTAAGCTTTGAGCCTATAACTCGAAGGTTTCTCAGATGGATGTTGCAGCAACTGATAATTGAATTTATTTGGTCTTCAAATGTTAGGAATTGATCAAATAGGACACCTAAACTTTTCACTGTGCGGGATGCCTCCACAGGGTCAGCTGCATTGTCAAGTTGTATTGAATCGACTGGACATGAAGAGTAACTGTTCTTGGTCTGTACTACAAGAGCTTCTGTTTTGTTTTGGTTCAGTTTGAGTTTATTTTGGGTCATCCAGGTCTTAATATCTTCAAAACAATTTGTTATTCTCTCTTCGATTGTTGAGAGATCTCGAAATAGTGGGTTAAACTCAATGTACAGTTGAGTGTCATCTGCGTACATGTGGATGTTAAATCCATGTCTCTTTGCGATCTGATTGAGCTCCTTTGTGTAAAGTATAAACAGAATTGGACCTAGAATTGAACCTTGCGGGACTCCAATTCTAAGGAAGCATCTCTTTGATCTTGATTTATCAATAGTTACTGTGAAGGATCTGTTATTAAGGTATGATGTAAACCATTCGAGAACAGTACCTTCAAAACCAAAGTCCTTTTTTAGTTTTTTTAGGAGCAAGTGATGATTTACAGTATCAAAAGCAGCACTGAGGTCCAAAAGGAGGAGGATAACCTTACTTTTCATGTCACTGATACAAAGAAGATCATTGTAGATGGTAAGGGTCGCAGTTTCGCAGCTATGATTTGACCTATAACCACAGTATTGGTAACTATGTATGTTTCAGTTAAACAAAAAAATTCAGTTAAACAAAAATTCAATTTTATGCCATTTATTACAGAGTAAACAAGTTTACAATAAATCAATTTTATATTTAAAGGAATCCTAATTCAATGCGTAGTATAGTTGTCACTCTTTAAATATATTAGATGTAGGTTGACAGGGCAAAGGAGTGTTTGTGCTGTTTGCTATTGCTCACACCAAACGGCAACCTAGTAAATGTTTTGTACGGACACCGGTCTCCATCACGATACAAAATTAGGATTGTAGAATTTTTGTCAAAATCTTTATTTTTCACTTTAATTTAAGTTATATTAATATAATAAATTCAAATCTTATGATATTGTTATTATCTTAACAGTTACTATTGTAGCTAAAGATTTTAAATTTGTATTCCTTGTATTCCTTGTATTCCTTGTATAACTTTTAGTGCAGTGGAGGGAGCGGTGTGGTGCATTAATAGAGTGACAGCCTACTGATTTAGAGTTGTTTTTAAGTGAGCATAATGGGTATATTTTTGGACCTAAAGGCTTTACTACGACAACTTTAAAATTGGTTCTTTTAATCATTTATTAAATATCACTTAAAAAATATATAAATCTGGAATCTGTTCACACTGTGAACCAGTCCTATAAAAAAACCCTCTTCAATTAAATATTAAAAACGTCTCAATAATGGAAATAGTCATACAATTAAGAAATTTACCAAATTCTTAATATCAACCTTTAGAGAAAAATACCTACCTAAGTCAATGTCTACCTGTAATACACTAATTATTAGGTTAAATACATAGGTGGTGGAGTCAGCACACATTTACCAAAATCAAAATTTTTTAATAGGAGGAACCTGTGGGCCGAGAACACTGGATTAAATTTGTTGAAGGGGATTGTTTTCAAATGACAGCTGCATTATGTCATAATCGCTTGAAGTCCATGCTGAATCATTATAAGCATGTTGCAGCTTTAGAAGTGTCTTTTTCAGGCGACTTTTAGCAAGGCTAATCTTGTAGGAGTAGTCAAAAAGCTTAAGTTTAGGGGCAATTGTGCTCCAATTGTGTTTCCAGTCTGGAAGGTCTGGGAATTCCAAACTCGGCAATCCTTAACTGCTCTAGAGATTCAAAATTTATCCAAATCTGCAGTGAACTTGTAAATAATGATGACCTCAAACAAAGATCTGTATTTCTACAGGGCCCACCCACGCTTATCTGGGGAGTCTTGTCCCTATATTAGACGGCCAATGCTCTATCCATTGGTATGTATTAATCTAATCTAATCTACGCGGCCTTACCCAGGCCTGTTATAAATGGGGAGTCCCTCTTAGAACGACCAGTGCTAGACCAGTGGCGTAACGCTGTGCGGGGGGGCGCCGTCTTAGGGGGGCGCAAAATCGTCGTTTGAATGTTGGACAATTTCGAAAACTTAACTTAAGTACTAGGAAAACTGCGCTATTTGCTCTAGATACAGTTTTGATACTTTCAACACTACTATATAACAAATAATTTGAGGATGTACCATGGAAGTCTAGAGTACCCGCAACAAGAAATGCAGCTGTAAACGACTTGGTAACGGGGTGCATGTGAGCTCTGGGGGCCAGTGGCATCAGAAGACTGGCTATCAGCCTTGAAAATAAGATGAGTTCTTTAGATTCATGTCACATCTGCACTGCATCTCCATCACAATGACACAAACACTCTCTCCTTCACTACCCTACCCTACCCTAGCCTAGCCCTACCCCTCCCTCCTTTTACCTGTTGCGGGTACTCTGGACTGCATGGACATCCTTGAATAGAGGTATTTTATATAGTAGTGTTGTGGTATTATACTGTGTACATGTATATATATTCTATCCTATATATCAATATATTCTATATCTATATATAATACTGTATCTTTTATATACAAACTTTTCCTTACCCCCGCCTCCCCTTCCTCTATAAATTGTACTCAAATCCCACACCCAACCTGCTATTGACTTACTAAATAACCTCTATATCTCTACATTGGGCCATAGCAGTCCACCCCGCTCCCTTCCCCTCCCTCCCCTATTCCACCAAGCACCAACATCTCTCCAAATCACATCACAAACTTTCATGTAATTAGACCTTGTGTTCCTTTTTTATCTTATTTTGAAAATGATTTTGTTTAACTTTACCTCTCTACCTGATATCACTCACCCCTGTCAAAACTGTGTTACTCTCATTATCTTATTTTCAGGCTGTTGGTTGGTTTGATGGTGCCCTGGCCCCCATCTCATTATGTGCTCCCTACCATCTATTCTTCATGCAAGACAGAACTCTTACTGAAGATAATTCTCGATCAACGAGATCGAGAAATAACTCCTCTCCCCTGGATGGAAATGTTATTGACTTTACGAAACCTATCACCATCACGACGCCCGGATGCTATGTGCTTAGCAATCCTGACTCTGGTTGTAGAATCAGTCTCTTTCAGGATGTGTTTGCAAGCCAACTGTGTGACCAATTTTCCTCTGAAATCGAAAATACTGGCACCCTTAAACAGTACAACACAATCCACAGGCAGTCTCAGGCGCCACTTGCACTTCCAAGACTCTCGTCATGGTTTGGACCCGTAGACTATGCGTTCTCAGGAATCGTAATGAAAGCTAATTCTGTCTCCCAATGTCCTCGCCTTATTGCAGCATATCAGAACATGGCCGAAAACCTCTTCACACCCAACAACATTGATTGCTTTTTGATCAACCAGTACTGCTTTTTGATCAACCAGTATAGAACTGGACGTGATTCCTGTGGTGAGCACAGTGACAACGAGCCAGAGGTCGACCTCTCAAAACCTGTCGTTACTCTGTCACTTGGCCAACAGCGCCGCATGCTCATCAGAGAGGCTAAGAACCCTGGAAATGCCATCACAGTCAAACTCGACCAGGGTTCAGTTCTTGTAATGCATGGTACTGATTTCCAAAAGAAGTATACGCATCAAATACCCAAAGATAATGTGATCACTAATTCACGTACCTCTGTGACCTACAGGACCTGCAGCTCCACTTTCCTAAGAAACCGAAGTGCCTTATCTACACCCCTGAAAGATATATCTATCACTCCTATACTTGCCCCCAAGACCCCTGGAGTCTCAGGCTCACCATCGCTACCTCTGCACAACAGACGTAGATCCTCCTTGTCTCTGTCTAGCTTCTCACAAGTTGACACCAGCTCAGTTGGGTCTCCAGTGGCCAGTAGTTCTCCTTCCATAACCAGCAGCAAAACATCAGTCTCTGATAGTGATACATTGCCTCTCAGCATAGATGCCATGCTTGAAGCCATTGATCTAATGAAAGACAAAACCGTGAAAAGCGAACTTTCTCGCCATGGCAGCACAAACTCTGGAACCCCTCTGGATTGTAAGAAAAGACTGAAGAAAGTTGCGAAAGCATGTCACAAACGCCTGAGCACGCTTCTTGCTGAGCCTCCAGTAGTCTCAGCTGAGCCCGAATGCATTACCCATTCCCTCCAAACTTTGGAAAACTCTGTTATTGATCTACAATCCAAAATAAGTCTACAACATAGCACCCTCCAAACACTTGTCTTATGTTCTGACAGTAATTCCAATCAAAAAGTTAGTGCCAGCCCCCCTAACCTGTCTAATGAACTCAACACTATGGACAAGAGACTTGAAAAGTTAGAGGATATAACTTGACTTACTTGACTTGACTTAAGGCGGGTAGTATTCCCGAGATCCATTGACAAAAGTTCTCCACAGCTTTCTGTCCTCCATCAGTCTAGCTATCTCATCTACTGATTTCAGCCCAGTATCTGCTTTTAGGTTATCTAGTAGTGTTAGGTAAGGTCGCCCCCTGTTAGTATGCCCATGACTCGGCTTCCAGAGAATCAGTTTGTTCAGTGTCAGCTCCGGATGTCGGTGAGCATGACCTGCAAGTCTGAGCCTTCGTTGGGTTATCTTGGAGCTGACTTTAGGAAGATCACCGTACAGACTGTGGTTGCTGACATGGTCTCGATATTGATTGATGTTAAGGGCCATTCTTAACATTCGTGTATAGCAACCATCAACCATCTTCTCCAGCCTTTTCGTCATAGTCCAAGTCTCAGAACCGTATAGAAGCACCGACTCGACTAGTGCTGTGAACACTCTGGTCTTGATAGACTTTCTAAGGTTGGATTTCCAAAGTTTTTTGAGAGTGTGGCATGCTCCCCATGCTCTTCCTTTTCTAACCCTGATATCACTCTCACTGTCTCTGATTCTAGAACCAAGATAGGTAAAGTCTTCCACGTGCTCTATTGTGTTGTTACCCAGGGACTTGATGGTATCAGGGTTCTCGATGTTCTGAGTAATGAATTTGGTTTTCCCTTCATTCATTTTAAGTCCCACTGTAGCAGCAACTCTTTCTACCTCTAGCATCAGCATCTCTGCCTCCTTTACAGTATCTGCTATCAGAGCAATGTCATCTGCAAAACCAGTGTCTGTTATCTTCTCCGCCTTGACTCTCCTACTCCGATAAGGCTTAATGGTAAATCCTATTTCAGGATACTTGCTTAAGGCTTGTCTCATGCAATAGTCAAGGGCTATAATGAACAAGTATGGTGCTAATGTATCCCCTTGAAGAACTCCTGCCAGGATATCAAATAGCTCGGTATCCCCATCTGGTGTTATAACTTTGCCCTTCGTGTTGACATAGAGAAGATTAATGATATCTACAATACTGTCCGGTATTCCATAGGCCTTTAGTATTTGCATCAAAATTCCCCGGTGAAGTGAATCAAAGGCCTTCTTAAAATCAACAAACACCATAGCTACCGGTAAATTTCTCTGTCTAGCCCCCTCTAGAATCCTTCTGAGTGCCAAGATGTGACTAGTAGTGGACCGTCCTTCCCGAAAACCATTCTGAGTGTCCCTAAGTACCCCCTCTATAGCCGGCTGGATCCTATTAAGCACCATTCTATTGAGAGTCTTAGCTACGAGAGAAGTCAAAGATATCCCCCTCCAGTTTCCAGGGTTGGTCAAGTCTCCCTTTTTGGGAACCGGGATGATGTTACTTATCCTCCACTGATCTGGCGCAATACCATCTGTCAGGGCTTTGTTGCAGAAGGACAGCACGATTTCATCCAGGTCGCATCTTTTGAGGACTTCAGGTGGTATGCCGTCATCACCTGGTGCTTTACCTTCTTTTATCCTGTGTTTAGCAGCTTTAAGCTCATCCACAGTAAAAGGTTCTGTACTGATGTTGAGTCCTTCAAATTGAGTCTCGATCCTAGGATGCTCGTTTTCCACATCCGGTATACTCCCTAACAGATTCGTGAAATGCCCAAGCCAATTTTTCTTCCTTTCTTCGGCTCCGTTGCCCCTTATTTGAGTTGCCCCCTTGGCCTTCCTGCCAGTTATCTCATTTATGACATTCCAACTTTCTTTGTTTTTGCATCTGTCTGCAGCCATTTCGACCCTTCTAACCTTGGCAACTAGATCTTCTTCAAAGATCTTCTTCAAGGATATAATGAGCAGCATAAACGAAAAACAACATGAAACTGCCACCTCCCTTAAAGCCTTCGAAGCAGATGTCACTGCAATTAAGAACAAAGTAGATGACTCTAAGGCCTGCCTACAGTCTCTCCAGCTTAATGACCGCACCAACCCATCAAGAAAAAAGCCATCGCCTCATCCTCAAAACCAGAACCACCCAACCCACAGCCCTAGTAGACAAACGCGAAAACCAAAAAAGGTTCTACTCCTACATGACTCCCAGATGAACAACTTTCTACCTGAGTCATTTTCCTCTGGGTTCAAGGTGGAAAAAATGAAAGTAGGCTCTTATACTGACATGATAAAAGACCACTGTATGAGAGATGTCATTAAACAGCCAGAGGTCGACTGTTACATTCTCCAGCTTGGAGTCAACGACTACAGATACAGAACCTGCTCTGTTAATAAAGCGATTGAGGATGCAAAATCAGTCATCGATAAACTCCTCTCGAGCTCCAGCGCAAAGGTTGTCATCTCCCTACCCACCCCAACCCCTGGATTAATCAGTGAACTTACCAACCAAGGCTAGCAAACCCGCTTGGTAGTAAGCACTGTAACAGTATCCTCAGACGAGAATACTTTAAGCAACGCAACAAGCATAGCAATTTTGTAAACAGTAAGAAAGTAGCTTTCCTTAAGAAGTTAAATGAAGCTATAGAAGAAGGTCACATACTCGACTGGAAAAAATTTAAACGGCTTAAACAAGAACATGACACTAGCCCCTTACTTGACAAATTTGATTTAGCTAGCTTCCATGACTTCTTTGCATCCCTTTATAAAAAACCAGACCAGGAGCCAGATCTCACTCACCACAATCACAAACATTACCCTGAACCACCAGATCTGGATATCCTAAATAAGCTCATGTCAGAATCTTAAGTGACCTCTGCCATCAAAAATCTCAAAAAAGGTAAAAGTTGCTCAAACGACTTGATATCCAACGAGATGCTTCAGAGCGTAACTCCGCTTTGTCTCAAAGCCATCCTCAAAAACTT